ATTAGGACTGACATGGGGTGTTCAAGGTAAAACAGGAAACGAGTAGATAGATCATGAATACTGCTCTGGAACAGATGAGGGGAAAGACTATCTGAAAGGAACATATGATTAGGCATTATATGTCTGACAATTAACAATCTGGAAGAGATGCATTGCAAACTGGACTAGCGTAAGGAAAAGGGAAAGGGAAAGAGGAAAATGTGCAACAATGAATGAATTACAACCCAACCTTTCTATAAACTTTTGTTAAAAATCACAATTAAAAAAAAAAAAAGAAGTAGGATGGTTGGGTCAAAGAAAGGCATGTATATTTTAAGACTTTTGATATTGTAAAATTACCTACCAGAAAGACATTTATTTGCACTGCAGAGGGTCTACTCATGTTTGCAATTCTAGATTTATAATTTTATCAAAATATTCGCTGATTTTATACACACACACACACAAATATTTTGCGCTTACCAGGAGATTAAAGATTTCTTCATGTACACATCTTTTATCTGGTTCCCCCTCAACATCCCTACTGATTGATACTAATTTTATTCTTTGAAAATTTTAAAGATATTTTAAGTTTAGAAAAAATAAAAGAGCAAAAACGTTCAGGACAGATATTCCTTAACAGCTACTGTTCGGTTTTATGAAAATGCTACTAGGTATTTTTTGTTTATAATTTAAAGATTATTTCTAGGCAATAGTTTCACGATCCAGTCTGGTTCCAGTCTCCATGGATCCAGAAAGAATAGAGTTCATGAAAGAACAGAGAATTTGAAATTGTTTTACATTCCTCCCTTTTGATCAATATTCTTCTATATAGTAATGACAGCTGAGCACCATCAAGTTTTTCTGCTCACATGGCTAAAGCAGAAGTGTTCTTGGTTAAACCGGTAATACCTCCCCTTCACTAGATTGAAGAGTGCTTTTCAAACTGTGCTTTGGAACAACTAAAGCAGAGATTGTGCAAATGTTTAATCAGATTTCTTTTTAAAATCTTTTTGAAACCATTTTTTAAAAACTCACATTCAATCTCTAATTATTTGAAGGTCCCAAGAATAAACTATGTAAGTTAAATTGGATGTTTTTATACATTTGTGAATGGGAGACTCATCTAGTGTTTAGATTTAACTTCTGAAATACGTGTTACTGGTTACAAAGAAATCATTTAGCACTATAATTTAACCCAATGACAAAATTTTACTAGTCCTCTTTCAAGTATTTAAATTTAACTGAGGAGTATTCCAGAGAGAAAGACTGTCCTGAAAAGAACAGGTTCTTAGAGTCAAGACAGGTTCTAGGCTCTAGCATTTAATGAGTGACTTCAATCAAGTTAAATATTCTCTTTGCTTTGGCTTCCATACATAAAATCTAAGTCAGCTGTTAAGAACATGACATTAACTAAAGCAAGTAAAATATGCATCACTCATTGTCTAATGCAAGGTAAGTATTATTGAAAGAATTTTTTTGTTGTTGTTAAAATAATCATGTCTGTTGTTGTTAAGTGCCGTCGAGTCGCAGACAGCTCATACCGACCCTATGAATGAAAGACCTGGACACCTGTGTGACTTTCATCCTTTCTCCAGGTTCATAGGGTTTCTGGAGGCAAGCCATTACAGAAGTGGATGCCACTTCTAAGCTTGTTTTAATTGGAGAGCTCCACCAAACACTGTCCACCATGGGTAACCATTAATACATTTGACACATCAGTGTCACAGTGTTCAGTTTCACAGCAACCACAAATTAGCTCTATATGGCAAGTGGACACACCAGGGATATAAGACCTAGAAGAATGTTTGACCAAAAACAATTAAAAACAGGGCTGAGAAAAAAAAAAAACCAAAAAACAAAAAAAACAGGGCTGAGGGCCGCAGATTAGTCACCCACCTTTGGCTTGGTAGCATCACTTTCTGTCTACTAGGCCAATTGATCTGTGTTACTAAACATGTCTAGGTGAGCAATGTTAAAAATATGTTTAGAAAATGTCTTACTTGGATAAATCAGAACTGATTATAACTAAGACCGTAACTATTACACTGTTGCTATTTATTTGCCTTTGAGTCAGAACTGACTCACAGTTGACCCTCTTAGGGTTTTCAGATGCTATAAATCACATAGGAGACTGTCTTATTCCATCTATGAATAAGTAAGATTAGACTAATTATAATAGTCTAATAACAATCTAATAATCTAACAATAAGCTGTTCCGAGGGAAAAAGACGGGCAATCTCCTCCAGTGGGATTTACTGCCTCTGAAAAACCACCGGAGATTCAGCTCTGAGTTAGTTCTGACTTAAAGGAACATAACAACAACAATAGTTATCTATAGAAACTAATTTAAATTAGTCTAGAACTAATCTATAGAATTCCTAATTTAAAATGGTCAACTAAAAAATCATGGAATATCACTGTTTTATAAGAATGGGCTCTACTTGGATAGGGACTTCTCAGAAAATGAGATTTCTTTGGCTTTTTGCTGTTGGTTTGCAAGAGTAGTTTTTGAGCTTTTAAAGTACAGAAAACCTTTTACAGATTTGTATTATAAGGTGAGTTTTGGTGGTGTATTCCATAGAGATCTGCACTGCTGAAGAGAAGGCTATGCCTCTCTGGTGGTTCAAATCTACCAGCAGTTCCTCCTGAGAAAGAGAGGCAATCTCCTTACGTTGTGATTTACAGTCTAAGAAAACTTGTTGGAGGGTCAATCATGAGTCAATTCTAACTTGAAAGCCAATACTTGAATCGAAATTCAAGGTGTCTTGGTCAAATGTTGGGATGCTAAGAGAGGCTGGCAGTTTTCATCTATGAAAATGAAGCCATCTCTTTTGTGTTAATATTGACAGCCTTGGAAATCTGATGAATGGGTGCCAGAAGTCTGAATGATTCAAGGTAATGGGTTTGGGTTTTGTTTACCTAAACTTAGAAGCTGACTCTCAGGCCTTTTAGAGGCCCTGAACAGCTTGGGAGAAAATTGCCCTTTTTTTCTCATACAGAGCAGCTGGTGGATTTGAACTGTGTGCACTAAACAAGGCTCATCGACAAGATCTTGTTGTTTTAAATACCTAACAATGAAAGGAAAGATACCATTATTTTCAGTTTGAAACTAAGGTTTAGAAAAATTAAACAACTAGCCCCAAACAGCTAAAAGGTGTAGAGCAGGATTCAAACTCAGGTGTACTAGGATTTGAAAAGCAGTTTTTCTTATCAAGAAGTTTTTAAAAATCTGGATATATAAATTTTTCCATATACTTAAATCCTGCTAAATTTGCAATCTTAGTTTTAGAATCAGAAGAAACCATTGTAGTATAAACACGAATTTGTCAACAAAAATTTTCACAAATGTCTTCAGGATATATACTAGGGGATACAAATTACTTTGTTGGTAGTTTTCTTCTCCAAGTACTTTTCAGAATTTATCAACTATTTAAAACCATACAGATTGTGTTGGTTTCTGTCTTCAAGTAACTAAAAAGTATCAGTCACTTCACTGATTGAATGCTTTCTATTATTCTACTTTTCACAACCAAATTCTGGATTAAGTGGTTTCTGTTACTGTGTGCTATCCAATGGGAATCAACTCATTAATGACCCTTCAGCAGGTGTTTAGAGGCAGAAAATTCCAGAAGGAGTTGGCCCACCTTTCCCCATTGGAGCAGCTCATGGTTTTGAGTAAATCTGCAGTACCTGCCTTTGGGGGGACGCCTATGTTGTAGAGATATTAAAATTTCATTCATGATCTCCTTTGACCACCCCAATATTAACAGCTTTTCAATCATTTCTGTTTTAGCTTCTCATTTACTCATTTTTTGGAAGTATGATAAAGCCACAAAGAAAGATGTCTTCTTACTCTGGTAAAAGACATTACCTGAAGCCTAATCTACCAATCTGTTAACATCTCCTCATTTACTGACTCAGAAAAAGGAACAGATTCCCTCATCTGTCTAGAATTCTTATCCTGAAACTGTGGAGAAGGGTAATTTTTCCCTCACGTCTACCTGATACTAGTTCAAAGTACTAGTGCAGCAGAGTTTGGAGATATTTTTGGTTGCCACAACTGGTCTCTATGAGTAAGTAAAAAACTCTATAAACTACTCGCTGTGGAATCGCAACCATAACTATCAAGGACAACTTTCTCCTGTCCTTGAGTGGCTGACGGATTCGAACCGCCAGAGATGTGGGGTTTGGCTTAGCAGCACAATTCTCTATGGGTTTATCCACCAGAGCTCCTTAGTAGGTTGGATGGTGTGTACCAGTGGGTTGGAACTGACCCTCCAGTGGGTTTTCAGAGGCAGTGTAATGTATGGAAGATTGCCCATTTTTCTCCTAAGGAGAACTGGTGGATTCAAACCACTTGCCTTTGGGATGAGAGTGCAACTCCTCCTACCACCAAGGGAGCTTGTCCTTGTTAAGTGAGGTCACGTTGCTTTTGACTCATAGGAAGCTAAGACAAGCTCTGAACCCTGCTCTATCTTGAACCAAACTAATTATCTCCGACACATGGATCCCCATTATCCCAGTCAGAATCAATCATCTCATCGAGGGTCTTCCTCTCTTGTGCTGTCCCTCCCCCTGCCAAGCATGACGTCTCTCTCCAAAGACTGATTTCGCCTAGCAACATGCCCAAAGTATGTCAGACAAAGCTTCAGAATCCTTGCCTCCAAGAAGCAGACTGGTTTCACCCTCTCCAAGATGAACTTGTTTTTTCTAGCAATCCATGGTATTCAATACTCTTCTCCACCACAACTCAAATGGGCTACTAATATTGATAAACATCCTATAACGCACAGGACAGACTTCCTACCCTCTTCTCAATTAAGAATTGACCAGGCTAAAATATCAGTAGTGCTGAGACTGAAAAACCCCACAACCTTTTTTCAATGACCAAAAAAAATTGTGGAAAATTAAGTCATTCATTGCATTTCTGCAGTTGATATTTATATTTTCTTTGTAATCCGTTCTGAGCATTTAGCAAAAGTGATGGTACACATTAAATCCACTTCCCCAGGCCTTACCCGTATTTCCGCAGCTGCTGTTGCCTGTCTCCTGCGGTCGCACTTTCCACGGCCACCCTTAACCTTAATGCCATAGATAGTACGAAGCTGTTGCAGCAAGGCCAACCTTACCAGCCTCTGATCCCACATTCCGGCCACCTCTTCCACTCTCTGAGGCTGAATCCGGGCCTTTATCCTCGTATGCCACCAGGTCTTGCAATTCCCAAACACCCTCAGGTTTGCACTCGGCTCTACTGCCTTCAGGCCACGTCTCCGGTCCCGGGCCACTTCCACGGCTCTTTCCTTGATTCACTATCCACTTACACAGACTGTCTTCTCTTGGCCACACTTCACCCTTCCTTCACTTACACCGACCTTCCTTTTGGTCCCCTGATCCTTTCAGCCTCTTCCACAGACCTTTTTTCTCCCTGACTCTCTTGACTGCCCAAAACAACGACGCTTGTCACTTCCGGCTACTTTCAAAGGCTCCCTTTATATCCCAAACTTCACTTAGCCCTCTCCGTCTCTCTCCTAACTGTAAAGACTGTCTTCCCCGCCCCTCACAACCACGCAGGCTCGGCTGGGCGTTCACCTTTCCGTCCTCACACCCCACCCCCGCCGTGCCCAGCCTCCGGACCAGCCGCTGCTCTGGGGCCTCTTTTCCAGTCCCGGTCCCAGCCCGGGCTGGGCGCCACCGTCACCCCGTTTCACAGACTTCTCCCTCCCTCCTCCGCCAGCCGGTCTCCGATCCCTGGTCTGCACATCCTGGTGTGTTCACAGAAGCCAACAAGCTCTCATGCCTCTCTGTGCAAGGTCTTCACCCACACTCGGAACCACTGTGCTCGCTGGACCCGCAGTCCCCAACCAGACTCAAAAGACAGCGCCAGGCGGCGCTCCGCACTCTGATTGGCTCGCTGCTCTTTTCAAAATCAGGACCTCGGAGGGTGGCCACAAGCCGCCTGTCTCGGAAGGCGCAGGCAACGGGAAGACCGCAATGGGTGTGGCGGGTAAACCTAAGAAACAGAGAGAACAGCCACTCTCACTTTTTCCTCCAAGCCATATTTTTTTGGAGGACATACTGTTTACAGTATATCTAAATACAGCGGATCTGAGCCTCAAGTAATATATTCTGGCAAGTAAAATAGGCGCCTCATTTTTCTGAACTTCTCTGAGGCCCTCTTGCAGAGAATCCTGTTCTAAGAGATGGACTTTGACTTCATTAACTGTAATCCAAGATATTTGGAAGACATTTCGGCTATGGTAACTAGTCCTCCTTTGGGAGGCTGATGTGTTGTCGAGTTGGTTCCAACTCAGCGGTGATCTGTGCAACGGAACTGAAACCCTGCGCAAGACTGGTGGTGATGCTCCAGTATTGAATACCCCTCATGGAAAAGTAGGGTTGCTGTTACGTGCCCAAAGGTTGACTGCATCTCATAACCCTTTGAATAACAGAGCTGAATCTTTCCCTATCCTTCACCATTCTCATGATGTCCGTCATTCTCAAACCTATTGTAGTCATTCTCTGACCCTCTACCTTTCCCAGCCTCATTTTTAATCTTTTTCCAAAGATTAAGCCCCTCCAGATAACATGCCCAGAGTATGTGAGACGAAGTTCCACCATCCTTGCCTCTAAGGAGCGCTCTGGGCGCACTTCTTCTAAGATCTGTTCTTTAAGCAGTCCATGGGCTATCCAACACTTCTGCAATACCACAATTTAAAGACATGAAATAGAGTACTGGAGGAATTTTGAAGTCTGGGGCAAGTGGCAGCTATGGCTTACTGCGGTGGGTTTTGGAGTTAGGAGGTCCGGGCAAAACCTGGCTGCCTGCCTGTGGTATGCTAAAAGATGCCCAGCTCCAGCCTCCAGGAGTACTTTATCATTCTTCCGCGTCTGCAATTCCATTTTCTTCTAGGATGTAAATGTTGTTATTGTTGTTATGTGCCATCGAGTCACCAATATTTATTGACGGCAGAACATTTCTATTGATTTAAATATAGACAGGATCGTATACACTTACTACCACTCTAAAAACCACACCAAACTTGTGCTGAAGTCAGTTTTCACATATGACCCTACAGGACAGTGTAGAACCGACCCATGGAGTTTCCAAGGGGTAAATCTTAACAGATGCAGATAGTCACATCTTTCCTACCTACTGAAACACTCATCTTAACCACTCTTAACTACTGTGACACCAGGGCTCTTTACATTGCTACTCTTGTCAACTTGCTAAGAGCAGTGACATTTTTATCAGCTTTGTCCACCATTGCATCACTTTCTCCTAAAAGTACCAAAGACGAAATTGATATTTGCTGAATATATAAATTTAAGTAGAGAACATTTTCTTAGACACATTTTGCCCTTTTTGGAGTTCAAGTCACTAGATGCTGTACTTGTCTAAAGAAAATTGTTTGACTGAAGATAGGGGAACAAAATGGAAATTTAACACATTGATTTATTAAATGTTAAACTACCAAGAACAACAACAACAAAAAAAAAAACCAGACAGGTAAAATTCAATCTTGATCAAAAGAGACAAGTCCTCTGTTTTCAAAGAAAAAGAGGAAGCAGATATTTTTCCCCATATCAAAATATCTTTTATCTAATTTGAACCTTTATTATTCTCATTTTATTGTGTACAAGATAAAGAAAAATATTAAATGGGGTTTGTACTGGGAAAATAAATTTCTTAAGCTCAATATCATGTTGTTATTAAGTGCCTTTGGGTCAAGTAAAACTCACTGTGACCATATAGGCAATATTTCTGAAACCTATCCTATCCTCACCACTGGACCAGTCCTATCCTATATTCACCACTGGACCAATTGGTAGCATCAGAATGGATGGCGAAGAGATTGAGATTGTTCACAGCTTCAGTTTGCTCGGCTCCACAGTCAACACTCTTGGCACCAGCAGCCAGGAAATAAAAAAACGTATTGCAATGGGAAAGTCTGCTGTTAGGGACCTCTCCAAAGTACTCAAGAGCAACCATGTCTCTCTGGAGACTAAGGTGCGCCTGACACAGGCCATGGTCTTTGCAATCATTTGTTATGCATGAGAGAGTTGGACTATGACTAGGGAGGATAGAAGGAGAATTGATGCTTTTGAGCTGTGGTGCTGGAGAAGAGTATTGAATGTACCATGGACTGCCAAGAAAACAAACAGTTTCATCCTGGAGAGGGTTAAACCAGGCTACTCCTTGGAGGCAAGGATTCTGGGGCTTGATCTGACATACTTTGGACATGTTGTAAGGAGAGACCGGTTCTTGGAGAGGGATGTCATGCGTGGTAGGGTGGAGGGACAGCTCAGGAGGGGAAGACCCTCTATGAGGTGGATTGATTCAGTGACTGGGGTAATCGGGATGGGTGTGTCAGAGGCAATGTGAGTGGCACAGGATAGAGCAGGGTTTAGTGCTGTTGTACATAGGGTCACTATGAGTCGCAAATGACTCGACAGCACATAACAACAACAACAACAATAGCATCCTATCCTGTGCCAAGGGACTTCCTCTCTTTTGCTGACCCTTTACCATCCCAAGCAAGATGTCCCTCTCCAGTGAATAGCCTCTCCTAGTAACATGCCCAAAGTATGTGAGATTAAGTTTTATCATTTTTGTCTCAAGGAGTTCTTTGGCTTTACCTTCTCCAAAGCATAGCTGTTTGTTCTTTGTGCAACCCATGGCTTATTCAGTACTCCCACATCACAATTCAAAGGCATCAATTTTTCTGTTGTCTTAATTCACTGTCTAGTTCTTAGCATCATAGCAAGTGCTTTGAATATCATGTACATGGTTCAGAACTGCTGGATCCTAAGTCCATCTTTAAACACTAGGGTCGCCAGTGTCACATGCGGCATTCTAAATCTACCTTATTTGATTAGCATATTGATTCTGTATAAATCAGACCAGTCAATGTGTAAACCTGTAGTAGGCTGTGCATTTTAACCTAATATGGCAAAACATTCTTTCAAATTTTGCACCTTCATTTGATGTCAAATAATGAAGCAAATCCCTCCAGTATATACAAAACAGCTTTGCATTTACAAAAGATTGTTCCTCATACTGCTTAGTCCAGGCAGCTAATGCATTGATTTATGAAGTTATGCATTAACCAAAGAAAAAACAATTATTAGCAGCAGAGTTATTCGTTAATCATGCATGCATTGTCAACTTGCACAATTTGCTCTCTGCTAT